CCTCTATGAGGTGGATTGATTCAGTGACTGGGGTAATCGGGATGGGTATATCGGAGACAGTGAGATTGGCACAGGACAGAGCAGAGTTTAGGGCTGTTTTACATAGGGTCGCTATGAGTCGCAACTCGACGGTACACAACCACCATCTTTTGTAATAAATCTTTCATGCTGAAAAAAAACATAGATGTGTTCCCATTTCTGAGTCAAATATTTTTCTAAGAGCGTTCCAAATATTCTTTCATTAAATTCTATCATGTGTGATTGGTATAATTATTATCCTCATTTACAGAGTAAAACAAAACAAAAAAAAGATGAATATTAAAAGCTGCAAAGTCAGGACTTGGGCTCTGCTAGGCTTATTTTTGTTGTTGTAGATGTTGCTGTTGTTATTGTGAAGCTGAGCACGACACATAGTGACCCTATGAACAAAAGACCTGAAGCCTTTCTCTAACTATCATCGTTTCTCAAAGTTCATAAGAGTTTCCAGAGGCATGCTGTTTAGGAAGTGGATGCCACTCCTCCTTCCAAAGGCTTATTTTAGAGAACTTTAACTACTCAGTGTGTCAACACATATATGTGACTACTGTTAGGTGCCATCAAGTCAACGACAACTCCCAGTGACCATGTAAAAATTAGATGTGAACCTGCCGCCCCTGCTTCCTGCTGCCCACCGGGACCACACACTTCATAAAGTAGGCTGTGTGCTAATGCAGGTAATAAATGTTGCATGTCATCATTACAACTCTGCTGGCTGTCTATTAAAGGCACAAGAAAACCATCAAACACTTCAAGTCCTCCTCATTTTCAACAAGGTTGTGTCATCTATGTAACAGGTTGTTGATGGCTCTTCCTCTGATCTTAATGTCACATTCTTCTTCATAATGTCCAGCTTCTTGAATGATCTGTTCAGCATACAGACTGATTAGGTATGGAGAATGGATATAGCCCTGGTGCACACCTTTCCTGATTTTAAACCATGCAATGTTCCCTGGCTCTGTTCCCATTACAGACTCCTGGTCTAGGTTTCACGTGAGCACAATCAACATGTTCTGGGATTCCCATTCTTCTCAAGGTTAGCCATAATTTGTTGTAATCCACACAGTCACATGTTTTTGTACAGTCAATAAAATATAAATAGACAGTCTTCATATATTCTCTACTTTCAGCCAAGAGCCATCTGACATCAGCAATTATGTGTCTAGTGCTATGGCCTCCTCTAAATTATGCTTAAATCTCTGGCATTTCTCTATTGATGTACTGTTCTAACCATTTTCTAATAATCTCCAGCAATATTTTGCTTGCATGTAATATTAATGATATAATTACCACATTCTGTTGGATTACTTGGGGGGGGGAGCTAATAAAAACGGATCTCTCTGAGTGAGCTGCCAGGTAGCTGTTCTCCAGAGTCCTTAGAACACTCTGGTGAGCACGTCCAGACCTGCATCTGTTGGTCTGAATATGTCAGTTGGCATCTCATCAATTCCCGGGGCCTTATTTTTCACCAATGTCTTCAGTGCACCTTGAACTTCTCTTCCCTTCTTACTGCTGGTTGTTGATTTGCCACTTCTGAAATCATTCCATGTTAGCCAATTCTTTTTAGTCAGTGACTCTGTGTATTCCTCCCATTGTCTTTTGATGTTTCTTGGACCACTCTAGATTCTGTCCATAATATCCTTCAGTATTAAACTCAAGCAAATTCTTCCCTTTTTATTTTCTGACTTTTTGAGTTTTCATTTTTTTATGTTCTTCACACATTTCATTATAAAACTCTGCTTTGTCTTTTCAGGCTGCCTTTACAATCCTCTGTCCAATTCTTTTCCTTCATCATTTCTTCATAAACAAATACACACACATATTTATGTTGCTGTTAATATGTGTCATCCAGTAAGAACCAAGCAACAGTGACAGTCTGGAGGGCTTTGGAGGCTAATCACATGGGAGGAGACTGTCCACCTTTCTACCCTGAATAACTAATGGCTTTAAACCACATGCCCTCAAGCTGATAGCACAACCAAGGGCCTCCAGACCTCCATGTATATATACACAAATACATATAAATCTATAAACAAACAAGTATACATTCAATTTAATATGCCACCTTGATATTGTATCTTTATAAACTGAAATCAGGTGAAACCAAAAGCCCTCAAATTAAAGATACAGCTTACCAGTACAGATAAGGTTTGTCCTTATCAACATTAATGTTATTTAATGGATCCATACGAAACCAAGTGTTTAGGGTAAAGCCATTCTGATAAGGCCACTTCGCAATAGGAGGCAAGGCAATTGCCTACAGAGAAATGAAAAAAAACATAACAAAAGGATTAGATAAACATGAAATTAAGGCAGAAGTAAGATATGTTCTTCACAATCTCAGATAATCAAGGTTTGTGAACAGAAAATTTTGATCAAATATATAAAGTTTAAAATATATTAAAATAAGCTATAACTATTTTACTATTAACACAGAAGCGCCGCATTTTCAAACTTCAGTGAAGTGAGCCTCATCCCAGGTCCCAGCCAAGTGCGCACGCTGCACTCACTCCAGGAAGCCCTTGCTGTCTCCCCAAGTGCATAATGCCTTCCACACATATGTGGGAGTTTCCATTTTCTGGGTTGTACGTTGTTGAAAAAGACCTCATACTGGGAAAGGAGGAGAGTGAAGAGAATGTGAGGAAGCCCCTCACGAGATGGACTGACTCTGTGCCAGCACTCAGGCGTGGGGAAGCCTGCAAGGGTGGCACGGGGTAGGCAAGACTCACCGTTCACAGGATCACTCTGAGTCATAAGTCACTCAACAGCACATTACAGTAACGTGTTAGGTTTTCACTAATACTTCATTTGGTTAAAAGAAGGCTGGATGTTTAAAAACCAACATTTAAAAAACCAACCATGCCAGGAATCAATCTTAAAAGCATGAAAGTAACAAGAGGTAAAGCTCATAATCATTATGCTTATAAGAGTAAAATGCGAGAGAGTATGAGATTTTTTTAGTCAGAACATTAATCAGTGAAAACTGTGATTGAATATTATCCTAACCCGCCCATCAGGAGAGGAGTACTGTAACAGAGGGAATGGTCAACTGTTTGATGTCAGGAAACATCTCACCAGGTATGCTAACCTTCCTAGGAGATAAGCACACTGTCTCCACATAAAAGAGAATTACCCTATTGATTATGCTGTTGCTCTGTGACCTGCAAAACCGCCTCTAATTATAACAGGGTTTGTTTTCAAATCTAACCAAGTCACTCCCATATTTTAAAACTCTTAACACACAGAATAAACTTCCTATTTCCTCAAGTAATACAAGACTGTTCAAATAAACTATGGCTCCCACAAGACTTTCAGTCACATCTCCCCTACAGCCTGGGCAAAGCTTCCTACCACAGAACCCTGTAAGATAGAGCAAAATGCCTCCAGAGGGTTTCTAAAACCAATCTTTTGTATTATTTTTTATTTTATATTGGTTAACATACAAAGTTCATATACATTGTGTTTCACACTAGTTCATTCACACCGTGTTTCATACAGTCATTGACATTCATCATGTTTTATAAAATTGCTCACCACTGGACAATACTCGCCTTTATTACCCTGTCTTTTCAGGTCCCAGTTGGAACTTCCCACTTCCTTCCCCCTCCCTCTAGCCACCAAACAGGGGCCCTTTAGAGTAGTGAGAGAAGATCTTCACCCTGAAACCCACAGCGTCCCTTTTCAGCAGGAAGTAGCTAAGAGAATACGCCATCCCCTTTTCCTTATGACTCAGGGTGAAGTCTCTCTCAGGGAGGAGTGATAGGGAATGGCAAGGGTCACACTGACAAAGAAGATTAATCAGAACTGGCTTTGACAAGCACTGTGGCATTTGGACAAGAAGAGAGAATAGTGCAACAATGAATGAATGGAAACCCAAAATCTCTGTAAATGTTTATGAAAATTAATAAAATATAATTATAGAAAAAAAATTAATCTTTTGAGAAGCTGATTACCACATCATTTTCTCAAGAAGCAGCTAGTAGATTCAAACTTCTGACCTTCAGCCATTATAGCACCAGGCACCCTGATGACCCAAAGGATTCCAAAGTATACCAGCTGTTCTTTCACACTGGCGGCTCACAGATCCTCTTTGCTGCACATGATCTAAAATTATTCTCCTTCCAGCAAGCTCCCGACATTCCCTCAAGACCAGGCAAGCAAGATCCTCTTGTGGAGGATTCCCTAAACTTTACTTAATATTAAGCGATCCAAGTCTATTAAAGCACCTGTAACTCTTCCTGAAACAAGCTGGTATGGGGCCTGTCCACCCATCAGAGAAGGAGCTCTGCTGGCTCAGGGGCTAAGTATTTGGTTGCTAACTGAAAGGTCACAGATTCAAACACATCCGTTGGTCTGTGGAAAAAGATGTGGAAATCTGTTTCCATAAAGAAACCCAGGGGCAGAGGGATAGTTCTACCCTGTTCTACAGGGTCAGAATGAGTCCGATTGACTTGACAGAAATGGGTTTGTTTTCACCCTTAGAGTTGCACAGTCTCGGATGACTGAAGAGAGAGAGCTTTCAGTGTGTGCTTAATCAATAGTGAGTAACTGCAGATTTATCAAATATTGCTGTTAAAATACACAGAAGCACACATGTACAAACACACAGCATTTCAGAGACTTATGGAATGCTAAAAAGGAATAAAAATTGTCCAGACTAACATCTTTTTTTTTATTTTAACGTCTAAGCAATCAGTTCAGGATAGTTTAATTGTCAAGCCTCACTATGACTTTTTTCCCCATTACTAAATAGTTTATACATTGTTTTATTAGCTAGCAAAATCCAAATCTTGACAAATTTCCCATTTCTTAACACTTTCAGGAGTTTCACTAAACCAGAATAAATTTAATACAGTTGCATCAAAAATACTATGAGAAAAGTAGAAATGTATACTGACTTTGTTGACTAACAGAGAGAATCCAGACAAGGGTATAAATCATATCATTAACAAGCTAATTTGACCTTAAGATCTGTGAGATAAAACTAGGGTGGACTGGTGGCCTAGTGGTTAGACAGTTGCGCTGCCAACCCAAAGGCAGTGGATCAAACGCACCAGCTGCTCCACAGGATAAAGGTGGGTGATCTCCTCACGTCCAAGTTACAGTCTCTGAAGACCTGCTGACAGCTCAGCTGTGAACTTGAGGCAATTAGAGAGAGGGGGTGGTGAATTTCAGCCTTGGTCTAGGAGTAGCACAGTGGTTACTAAAACCCTATCACTGGGGAGTCAACGGCATTCTGGAAAGCAGCCCAAAGGTGTAGCCCAAAGGTGCACATACACAGGCAATAATCCTTTCTCCACTAATCCCACCCCACTTTCTATCACCAGCCTCACCAGTCAGTTCTCAAACCAAGGCAAACACCACCCATTGCTGTCAAATGATTCTGACTCAGTAGCCACAAAGAACAGAGCCGAACCCTCCCCTAGGGGTTCTGAGGCAGGCTGTAAATCCCCAGGAAGCACACTTAGACAGCCTTCTCCCACAGAATGGCTTGTGGGCTGGAACTGCCAACGTTTCAATGCTTATCACCACTGGGCCATTCGGGATCATCTGCCCAGGTCTCACTCACACTTGTGGCTCCTAGTCAGAACCGACTCACGGTGGCCCTCCTGTGGTCTCTGTGGCTGATCTCCAGACGGAAGGAGGCTGCCCATCTCTGTCTCATGAACTCAAGCAACCAGAGAGCTGCCATTCTTGGGTTACCAGAGCGACTCCACAGAGCCCATGCCCCGAAACTCCTTAATTGGAAACCAAACACTATTTTCAACCAAGAGACAGAGGAAGGTGCTTCCAGACTTACTGGGCAACTCAGCAAACACAGAAGTTCTAAGATCAGTTACTGTCATTGTGATGGTCCTAGTACAGCACCTCGTCACACAGAGCTGCAATCAGCAAACTCAGAACAGAACAGGGGAAAGGGTGAGCACAAATGCAGTCTATCAGTACCAGGTAGTGTTACGAATGGTCCTGGCACTTAACAGGTGCTACAATAGCATGCTGCTCAATTACATGCTTAAAAACATCTATGGGGAATCAGCATCTTTGTCTGGCCAACATCTTCATGTCATTCTTGTACTGGCCTTGACTCATTGTGACCACACCACACATACACACGAGAGAAGGAAACTCCACCCAGCTGCGTCATCCTCGGAATCACTGTGGTGTTGGAGCCTCAGAGTAACCCATCTTACAGAAGGTCTTCCACTTTGTATGATGAGTAGGATGTCTTTCTTTGATGATTAGTCCCTCCTGAAACCTGCTCAAACTAGATGAAAATCTAGTCATCTACTTCTGAAATAACTGAACACTTAAAACTTTCCAATGATCTTTTTCAAGTAAACAGAAAGCACAGAAATGTCAGCAATATGGGCCCCTCAATATACTGACTGAAACCTCTGATTTGTCCATTGCAAACCTCAAACTTCTAATCCTCCATGAGGACCTGAGCAGAGCTCACCACTACCCTGCTCCAGGCTCTGATCCCCGTGTGCACCCTGCTAAGCAGAACTTCCTTGCTGAGTGGTGCCCCATCTGCAATCTCAGCTCCAACTCCCAAACCACCAGTGCTTGTCCTCATCACCCCAAGGTTCTTCACTGGGGGGGGGGGAACAAAAAGGAAAAGTAGCACCCAAACCCACGGTCAGTGAGTCAGTTCCAAGTGAAGGGTCCCAGCGACCCTCCACGTTTCCAAGGCTGTAAATCTTTAAAGAAGCAGGCTTTCCATCTTTCTCCCATGAGGCACCAGGTGGATTCCAACTCTCACCTTTTTATTCAGCAACCCAACACATACAGCACTACGCACTCAGAGCTGTGAGGCTCCTCACTGCTGCTTGTGCTACTGTGATGCATCTGCCATGCACTGTCAAGAAGTACAGCATGGACGTCCTCTAAGTGGCACTGGGTCTTGATCACATACTACTCCCTGAAACGGGTCTGTGTCAGCCAATTCTTCTTCATGGCTCTGAATCGTACAGTGTCGACGACCCTGCCTCTGGACGACTTCCACAACTTGGACTAGAAGCTATGGTCACAGCTCCTCCATTACTGTGATATTTTTTCCATTACTCTAATACTCTCCGTTGGAGCTGACTCTAACATGTATGTTCTTTTGTATCATAACTTGCAAACAACAGTTCCAGTGTTCAGATGGCATGTGAGATATCAGTGAGATGGCAGCGAGATACAGAATTGTTGTTGCTGTTAATGATGATGATGACAGGTGCCGCCGAATCAAATATGACTCACAATGACCCTACG